ACTAACGCGCTAGCTGCACCTATCCCTGCAAAAAGTAATGGTAAAAATCCACCTTTTTTATCTTTAATTTGTGAATTTCGAATCTCTATTCTTACTCCAGATTTTTTATCCTTAGCGTTTTTTAATTTATCTAATTGAATTTTATCTAAATTATAAATATTTTCGCCTTTAAATATTTTGTTACTAGCAAATTGAAGTGTTGCATTAGTATTATTTTTATGAGCTTCTTGTAATTTTTTAATTTGATTTTTATTTAATTTAAAATAGTACGTCATTTTATAATACAAAATATTATAAAATTTATTCATATATCAAATTCATTCCTAAACGTCTTTTTCCTTTCATTGCATATGCAGTTATTATAGCCGGAATTTTTTCAGATATAGGACTATCAGGATCATTATATCTTTCCAATGCTTTTTGTTGTAAAACTTTATCAGCAATATGTCTTGATTTAATGTCTTTATGATTTTTGTAAAAATAATCGTGTTCTCTTGCAGCTTCGTCTAATTTGTTGATTGGTTGTATATTTTGTTCTTCATTTTTCTCTAAATCTGTAAATGGTCCTAAATATTTATATTTAGGATAATGCATCGGAGGTAAATATTTACAATTCAAAAAATCATTAAAAAAGCCTGCACCTTTTATAATTTTCTTTGGTAAACTTGAAATAAATGACCATAAATATATCGGACCTTTATCGGGAATATCAATTCCTTTTTCCATTATTTTAATACAAAAATTAAGTATTTCAAGTTTTTTATTATGAAAATAATTATTTCCTACTCTTTCTTCACTAGATATATAATATATTTGTTCTCTTAATTTTTGTATATGTATATCATTTGTTATTTCTTTTGGTAAATTTATCACATATTGTAGTAAATATTCAATACCTTTAGGATCATCTATTAAATGTTCCATTTTTGTTTTAAATAATTTAAGAATCCCATGTAGTTCATTATGATAAGTATAATTTCCTGCTTTTTGTTCAGCTGCTATTAAATGTAATCTTTCATTTAATTGTTTCATATTATCTATCCAACGATATTCAATTTCATTATTTGTATAATTCATTAAACCACTTCCTTTATTCTCTGTTGTTTTTGTAGGTTTTAAAATTTCTGTTGCTTTTGTAGGTTTTAAAATTTCTGTTGTTGGTTTTGGTGGTTTTAAAATGTCTGTTGTTGGTATTGTAGGAAAATCTGGTATTGTAGAATTTAAATTTTCTGTTGGTGTTGTTGATGTTTTTTTTTCTATTTGAATTTTTTTCCAAATAGGACTAATCAATTTTATATATTTGTTACCTCCACTTGATCTAACACTATTTGTATTTTTATCAAAATTTTTGTATATTGCATCTGTTTCAAGTAATATTTGTGTATATTTTTCTAAATCATCTTTATTATATTCATCTTGTTTTGGAACATCTGATTGAGTTAATAGACTCCACATACCTGGAGTTATTTCACGTTCTTTACCTTTTAATATTATATTATCTAAATTAAATGTTATTATTTCTTTTCCGATCGAATGTTGTTTAGTTTTTTTATTAAAATTTATTCCAAATGAATTATGTTCAGGTAAAGATGCTAGAGCTATACTAGAATTTTTACCTAATATTGTATCAGGAGGCAAAGGAGATGAATTTTTTAATTTTATCGGAGAACTTTTAGGTGTTTGAATATTTTCATAATCCTCTGTACTTAATATTCGTAATAGCTCTGGATTACGAGGCTTATAAAGAGTTGTAGGTATTAGCATTTTTTTAATATCATTATCAGTTTTAATAGCAACCTCTTTAACACCATTAACAGATGATTCAACTTTTGATAAACCTTCTAATATTGGTCCAAATTGTTTTACTTTATCTTCAGCTGAATGTATATCGTCTATAACTCTTTTTCTATAGTTACTTTTTAAATTTTTTTTAATATTAATTATTTTTTCTATGTTTGCTAGTGAATATTCTTTTTCTTGTAATTTTTTTTCATCATCTTCATCTTCATCTTCATCTTTTCTCAAATTATTTACCTTTTTTTCAGAATGTGATAAATTTGATTTTTTAAATTTTGTTCAAGATGAATTAATTCTTTAATATTTTTAGGGTCGTTTTCTAAATTAGTTCCTTCCTTGAAATTGTTTTGTGTTTCTGATGGATCTGTAAATGTAACTTTTTTTAAATTTTTTTTTATTATTTTTCTTAAATTGTTTTGAGTTTGTTTAACATTCATTTATTATATGAAAAATATTAATTTTTTCATTATCAAGTATTATTAAGTATAATCATATTAAGTATAATCAAGTAGTTTTTCAAGTTTATAGTACAAACGATTATTGAGTAGATCGATTGTTATAAATCCATAGTCATTTTTCCAACAATCTGAACATAAAGTTTTAAAATCATTGAAAGAAATAGTATTACTTAAAAAATCATTCCAAATGTTTTTAATATATTGAGTTGATTTAAAAACTATTAAAAGAGTTAAATTATTTCTTATATATTGTTTATTTGCTGAACTATAACATTGATTTAAAAAAATAACTGAAATATTTTTTGGTCTTGATCTATTCATATATTCATAAATAGGTTTTTGTTCATCTAAAGGAATATCATCAAAAACAACTAAGCTATCACGTTCACATTCGTCTACAGATATAATATCTGTATCAGATATATAAAAATAAATCTCAGGTATACCTTCAAATATTTCTATTAGATCATTATAAACTGGTTGGTCGATACTTTTTGTAAAAATATATAATTTTTCATAATTAGTCCAATGATTTAGAACTATATTCCTCAACACCTCTGTTTTACCAGAGCCTGATGGACCAGTTATTTGAAGTCGCATAGGTAAATGAAATAAAGATTTTATTTTATTTTTTATTTTATATGGTTTTATTATAATAAGATTCATTTTATTATAAAAAATTTTTATAATAAAAAATTATTATTTTTTATAATAAAAAAAATTTTTTTTTTTTTATTTTTACTATTATAAACAATGTATAATATTTTTAAAAAGTATGATCAGTTTATTGAAAGTGTTCAATATAAAACTTTTACACCTATAAGTAACACTCAACTTAATACACCTAATAAAGATACCATTTTTAAAATAAATAACCAGGATAATTTTCTGGATATTAGAAAAGCAAAGTATTATATGTCTGGTAAATATTTACAAAAAGATGGAAAAGAATATCCTAAAGGTTCAAAAATACAACTAATTGATGATTTTCCTAAACATTCATGGACTAAAGTTCAAGTTAAAATACATGGTAAAACAATAACTGAACTTGAGAATGTAGGAAAAGTAAGTACAATTAACGGTGTGATAAACTGCAACTCTTTGGATTCAAATGGACCAAGTATAAACTCAGGCTTTGTAAGCAAATTTAAAGGTGGAGGTAATTTTAATGTTATGGGTTTATTATCAGAATTTGGTTTACCATTTTTCAATGACATTTCAATTCCTGTTATCAATTGTGATATGGAATTATGTTTTACTAGAAATACAGATGATGATGCATTACTAAAAAAAGATGTAGTTACTGAAAATGGTAAAGAGGTAAGAAAAACTGTTATAGGAACAGAAGATGGTAAAATTATTATTGAAGAATTTTCAATTAAAATTCCAGTTGTACGATACGCTGCTTTACAAAATGTTTTATTGGTAAATGAAATAACTACATTTTCTAAAGAAAAAAAGTATACTTTTAATTTTAAAACGTGGCAAATGATTGAGGAAAGAAATATAAAAGGAAAAACTATTAAAATTAATGTAACAAATGAATATCGGGGTAGAAATGATCCTACGTTTTGTGGTTTTGTTTTTCAAACAAATAAATTAAATACTCAAGATCATGATCCTGGTGAATTTGATCATTGTTGTGTTAGAAGCTATAGTTTTGAATTAAATGGAATAAATTATCCTGCAGAACGTCAAGATGAAGATTTTAATAATAATAAGTTTTGTCAATTTTATGATGATTTGATGTCATATAAATTAACTTATCATAAAAATACTCAAGAACTTCCATTGATGTATAATGATCCAACTGATTTTAAGGATTATAGATCAATATTTCTAACTAAAACAGTTTATCAACCAGAAAATATCCTTTTTAATAAAAAAAATATTATTTTACATATTGAGTTACATGAAGATTTACCTAAAGATACAATTTGTTATATTTTTTTCATAAGAGAAGATGAATTTTTGTTTGATGTTGAAAAAGGTACTATTGAAGAAATATAAAAATATAAAAATATAAAAATATAAAAATATAAAAAGTTGGAGTACTCCAACCTTTATCTCCTAGTGACTATTATTTTCAATAGAATATTTCTATTGAAAAATAATTTAATATTTATTCTTTAATTAAATCAAGATAAACAATAAAATCATCATTATCAAAAACATATTTTTTACCATTTTGATCTATAATATCTATTTTTATTTCTTGAAAATGTCCTTTAACAGGTATGTATATTATTGAATTAGTTTTTATATATGGATTATCATAATCATAATAAAAATTATACAAAACATCTTCCTCGATGTGATGACTATCCTTAACAGATGAAAAAGATTTTTCAATTATATTGCAATGTACTTCTAATAATCGTTTATTTATATTATTATTATTTAAGCCTTCTCCAATGTGTTTATATAAAAAATACATTTTATCAATCCCTAAACTTGTTTTAAAATTTTGATCCATCAAAAAATCAGTTTTTGAAGTAAATGTAATACAATTATTATCATTTTGTAATTTAATACCTAAGGGTAATTTACTATTCAATTGATCAATTGAATAATTTCCCTTTATCATAGTTTTAATGTTATTACTTCGACTCGTTATAACACCATTAAAATTTTTAAAGAAACCTTGTGTATAAAAATGTATAGAATTCTTTAAATAAGGATCTATAACAAAACTATGCAAGTTAGTATCAATATTTAATTCATTTTTTTCATTTATTGTAAGTATTATACCATCATTTGAGTTTCATTATCCAAGCTTCCAAGTTCTTCACAGTAAATCTCAATTGGATTTGTTGACGTAGTTGCTGCCTTATGTTTCATTCGTGCTAAGCATTTATTGACTTCAACTTCATGCGTGTCTGGAGGATGAGTATGTGCTTTATCGATTATTGGTATTTCAGTAGGATTTTCTTTCGATGTTTTTAATTTGCCTGGACACTTGAGACTCGACGCCTTAGAGCACCTCCAAACATCAGATATTAAAGTGCTGTAATATTTCGTATACATGTGGCCAACAAACTTTTTCCGTATTTTTATTAGATTTTATTATTTGATGTGACATTTCAATTAATAAAAAAAAAAAAATAATAATACTTATTTAAAACGAAGTAGAAAAAACGTTGAATTTTTATATGAGAGTGGTAATGAACGCAGCCGAGCTGTTATCTCGTAGCTTTGGACAGACTTCAGTCAGCGATATTATATTTGGGTATATTGGGTGATTTTGTAATCTATAATCGGCGTGTGATTTGGAAAAACTTTGGTGTCATAAGCCGTTATCCGAGCGCGTTATCCGAGCAGCGATAACCAGAATATTGGGTTGTAGGACACTTTGTACGGTCACCCACAAAAACATGATTGTACGTAATTATTACATTTATTACAACATTTAATAATTATATGTTACAGGTATATAGGTATATTTTACAAGTTACAAAAAATTTATATTAATAATTTATATTTTCGTTATTATATACGAGGTAATGTTTATGGTGACTGTAAAATGTTTAACTTGCTTTTTTTCATATGCTTTTTTCATTTGCTTTTTTTTCATTCGCTTTTTTTTCATTTGCTTTTTTTTCATTCACTTTTTTTTCATTCGCTTTTTTTCAATTTGCTTTTTTATCCATATGCTTTTTTTTCACTTACTTTTTTTTACTTGCTTTTTTTTCCTTTGCTTTTTATTCAATTGCTTTTTTTCCTAACCCCGTATTATTGTATTAAACTTGGAGCGGTGTACTGTTCGGGCTCACGTATTTTATACATTGCGCGTTAAAAGTGATAATTTGAAAACAATTTCTTAAAACACTAAAATATTTTTTAAATTATGTGTTATAATTCGTATAGTGTCGCTCCCATGCAAATTTTTCAATTTTTATTTTCGGAAACCTAGTTAAATCAACGTTTTAGAATGATTGAGCAAAAATAATTCTGACACCCACCCATGGTGGTTTTACATAACAAGTCGATGGATGTTTTTGATTATAATTCACTGAGCGATCGCAGCCAGGTACGTCGGGTATATATAAAAATACCCAAAATTTAAAATACCTATAACTTTCAAATAAGTCTGACCACCAAATTCAGACTTCAATGTCATTTTCAATTAAAAACTAAAGATTTCCGGCAATTAATTTTTGCAATATCGTTCTTAATTCGTTGTAACTTGTACTATCGCGATGGAGTGTTGTCCGACGATTTAATTTAATGGTTAAAACCGGTTTATTTTTGGACGTAGATGACGTTATCACTGGAAGTAAAAAGAGCGTTTCAATTTACCGTTCTTCGTGGTAATTCACTTTGATCGGGAACAAGAAAATAATGTTAAAATTCATAGACGCGACAGCCAAATCTGACCTTGTTAGTATTTAGGTTTTAGAACTAAAATTTACTTTTGAAATTAAATATACTAATAAATTGTGCACGACAACATTTTTAGAAAAATTAAATAGTAAGTATGAAGTCACATGTGAGCCATGGTTATGTTAGAATAAGTGGAATGGACTGACAAAGAAATATTATTTTATCGATATTTAATGACTATGTAATGATTTTACAGCTAACAACAACTTCTTGGGGTTTTATCGACTCCGCCGTTTTAATATCAATTCCGCCGGATTTTTGTTTATATTGATTCCGCCAGTTGTTTATTTATGTTGATTCCGTAGACTGTTCATTAAACAATAACCAAAGTATCATATTGTACAGAATTTTTTTTTAATTAACAGCATAGGTTAGGGTACACTTAGTATAAAGTAAGTTTTATTTAAATAAGAACATTGTCGTCCATAACGGATAATATTTATTAAAATAATAAAATAATACCTATAACTCAAATATCTAGTGATTATTATTTTTTAAAAAATGAAGTAAGATCGTAATATTTTTAAATAGAGTTATATTATAATATAATATGGTCAATTTTTTAAATAATTAACAGTATATAGGTTAGGGTACACTTAGTTTTCCATAATAGTATAAATTAAGTTTTATTTGAATAAAAACAATTCAAACATTGTCGTCCATAACGGATAATAATATTATATATTAAAATAATAAAATAATATAACTCATATATCTAGTATATCTAGTTTTACAAAATGAAGTAAGATCGTCATATTTTTAAATAATTAATTAATAATAATAATTCCGTATTATGGTAAGGTAAAAAAAAATTAAACATTACTAATACATATATACAAATTGGTCATTTTTTTAAATAGTGGTTTGATGCTAGTTTTATATAAGTGAATCTATCAATTTTTTTATTTATATAATCGTCAAAAATGTTTGCTATATATTTTTTTTGGTGATTTTTATTTTTACCTATTTTTTTGTTGTTTAGTCCTCTTATTACCTACCTATAAGTTTGTATTGCAGTTTGTAACTTATATGTTCATTGTTCGTGTATTATTCTACTTCAACTTATTTTGTTACGAGTTAACTACAAATTACAGTAAGTTCTAGTGTGTACCTACTAATGAAATAAAATTTATTTTAACATAAATGTAATTATGTAAACATAAGCCTTTTACATGTTGCGATTACTGTATAATGTAAAAAAATTCGGCGGGATCAATATGTAAAAAAGTTCGGCGGAATCGATATGTAAAAAAGTTCGGAGGAGTTGATATGCGGCGCAATCGATAGATTTTTTACAGGTAAAAAGGTAATTTCGGCGCAATCGATATACGCCCAACTTCTTAGCTCTCGCCAAAATCTGTAGTGGATAAGCTGAAATCTACCCCACCTCGCTGTCTGCAGATCAAGACCTATAAATTTGTCAATTCGAAAGAGGTGTTTACTATATATTATTTGCTGTATAAAATAACACGGTCTACATTTTATACTGGCAACTGTAGATGCCTGTAAAAAAAATGAAGACTTTTTTTCCATTTTAAACCAACGACACGACTCCGTGGGATCGCCTTATGCATTAATTCCGCGGTTTTAGCTATAACTAAAACGGATTCCTAGAATTTCACCCACCCACTAAACCACGTTTAGGGTTTAATAATATTACACATTAATAAAGAAATGTTTGTTGGATGTCAAGTCGTTGCAAGTATGTGACACCGGAAGGTGGTCACTATTGTATATTTCATTAAGTACTTGCCAGTGGAGTCTTTGAGCTATGGAGGGAGTGGAGAACGTTAAGTCGATAGCTGAGAGGGTTCTATTAGAGGGATTTATTCTGGTTTGCTCGTTGTTATTGAGAATTACGATGTTATCTTGTTCTAATAATTTTTCTATGATTTTTCCTCTTGTATTAGTTTTGTATGATCCCCATATATGGCTGTGGCTGTTGAAGTCCCCTACAATGATGAAAGGTCTTGGTAGCTGCTTAATAATATTTTCTAAATCTGAGAGTGTGAAGTTGAATTGATTTAGGATGTAGATATTACAGAGGGAGATTTTTGTTTCGAGTGTGATTGATATTGCAACTGCTTCTATGTTTGAATTGATAGGGATTTCCTCCCAGGGGAATGAGTTGTTTATAAGTATGCACACACCATCACTTGCCCTCAGGTAGTCTCTGCGAATTTTTTTTGCGTATTAGTAGTTTTTAATTATAGGAGGAGATTCGTCGTGTTCTAGGTTGGTTTCTTGGAGACATATTGCAATTGGTTGATGTAGATTGATTATTAGTTTGATTTCATCGATATTTTTGTGTAGTCCATTGAGGTTCCATTGAATAATATTTTTATGTTGTGACTGCATTTAAATACTAAGGTTTGTGTTTGATTTGAGATATTTGTATTTATTAAGATTTGATTGGTTCAGTTGCTAGGGCTTTATCGAGAAGCGTGCTGCAAAGTCTTGTGAGCCTGTTTTTTATGCTTTGATTTTTTAATTAAGGTCGGATGTTTTCGATGACTTCGATTATTTCGAATTCAGTGATGTTGAACTGTTCTAATGTCGGAGTTGGATCGGCACTACTAAGGGTGTTTTCAATAATGTACTTGAACTGATCGTAATTTATTTTCATGCCTGGTGTTTCTGAGAAGAAGGTTTTTACGGGATCAAATGTTTCGTCGAGCTTTAAGATCATTTGTTCTAACTTCTAAGGAATTTGTGCGTTTTATTTTTTTTGGTTTTGGTTGAGGTGTTTTTTTTGTTTTTTCGTTTGGAGTGATATTGTCGTTTGAGACAATGACTTGTGACGAAGGTTTAGGGGATGGACAGTTAGTGGTTATACTTGATGATGTAGAGGAGAGTGTAGATCTTTTTTTTCGATTCAGTTGTGGGTATTAGTGTACTATATTCTTGTGTTGATTCACTAATTATTGGGTCGTCGAGGAGAGATGCTTGAATTGGGACCATTTGTGTTTTCGGAAGGGATATCTATTGACGGTTCGATATGTCCTGATTTCTCTTCTGTGGTGTTTGTGTTGATTGTAGTGTTGTTGAGGTCTGATGATTCATATAACATAGCGTTTGGAGGATCTGGTGTAGACTTTTTACACAGCTTTGAGGTGTGTCCGGTGAGTTTGCATTTATAGCAAGTGAGGGTGTCGTCAGTGAGAAAAATTCTGTGAAGTTCGTTTTCAGCCTTGCCCAGTAAGGATTCTGGTATTTTATGAAAATCATCGTGGTTTATATAAACTTGACGTCTAAAGCTTAAGATATGCGCTAAATCTTTTATGTTGAATCCAGCGTTAATGTGTGTTATCGGTGATAGGAGTTGGATATTGCGATTTTGTAGTTCAACTATAATTTTATCGTTAGGAATAGCAGGTGATACATTTGAGATAATAATTCTTTTGGTTGGGTTTACTAATCGTCTGATTTTTATAAATGTGAGATCATTTAGTTTAATAATAGGATGATTTTTGATTAGAAGATCAACAGTGTTTTTGTCATTGAAATAAACACAAAAACGGTTGTTTGACATTCTAGAGACGAATTTAATATTTTTCGGTGGAATTATTTTGCTGATAGCTATGACGTATTCGATTTGTGGTATGTTATCGATAGATTCAAAGATCGACGGTGGAGATGGTAGTAACGGAAATACGAGTTGGATCATTGGGTTTGTGTTTGATTTTTTTTTGAATTTAAGTTAGTCTATAAGGTTTGAGGGGTTATTAGGTGAGTCACCCATTTTGGTGTAAATATTCCTATTAGGCGGGTGAATATAAGAAAGTGTCAGTTTTATGATAATTGTTCATATTACCTGATTATCTTACGTAATTATTCTGAATGCATACGAGAGCTAAAAATACGAGAGCGCGGTCGAAGCGAATAACGTGTTGCTAATAACGCTGAGCTCCAAAATAAATGCCATTAAATGGTACAATTAAATTACAATTATTTTATGATCTTGTATTTATAACCAAACAAATGATGGAACTTACTTGTATTAACTTTAAACATATGGTATAATACAATTTGTAGATCATAGGTTTTGACCAAAAGTTCAATCCTTCAACTCATGGTAAATTATATTAGTAAAATTCGATTTAGTTTTGTTAAGAATGATTTTGATTAATTAATTTATAGTTTAGGGTAAAACATTGTTGTGTATAGGATTATGTATAGCCACACATCGAAATAAAATACAAACATTAAATATAAAAAAATCTTGATTTAAAAATAATAAACCTATGTAATAATAAATTTGTATTCGATAATAATATTTTTAATACACTTCAATGTGATAATTTTCCTTTGCTAGATAGTCCCCATAAGATGGTATTAATTTCAATATTAGTTAAAAAATATCTAAGTATTTGACTCCATTCTTTTGGCAAAATGTTTTCAAAAGAAATTTTAAATTCTGTTAGAAAAAGACAAAAATTAACAAATAATTTTTATGAACCAGTAGTAGGTATAAAATATTATATGTATTATAGGCTATAGGTACCAGTTTTATTTTAAATATTTGTATTATTATTAAATTAATACACTAGTTTTGTTTTATTTACTTGAAATATTTTATATTTTTTACTTTACTATGTAGTACTAGTATAGATACCAGTTTGGTTTTATTGATTTTAAATATAGCATTTCAAAAATAATTAATGGATGTAAAATGTTTAATTATTTAATTCAGATTGTTATTAAAAATATTTTACAATAGCACAAATTTTTATAAAATAATGTAATATTCACATGCACCATTACGTAATTTACATAACTGTTGAATAATCTAAAAGTTGATAATATGTATTTAAGACTTATGTAAGTAAGTTAAGTTATTAATATATTAACATCATGTACTACCTATACAACTTTAAAGTTTGAACTTAAAATTTATAATTTTAATCATATTATGACAAATTGATAACAATAATATCTTTATCAGTGTTATGAAAATGTAACATTCACCTCTTAGAAAGGAGAATTTCGGCCATTTTGTTGGCTTCAAAAACATTTCCAAGTTGTCTATCTAGTATTTTTATATATCTGTGGTATAACGTTATTTGTAGGCGATTCTTCAATCACGAACCGGACAATATATATATATACGTCTTAGAAAATAATATTGGACATTTTAGATTCTGAGCGGAGCGATGATTGTTCTAATTTTACAATGATATTGCGTGTGATATTTTTATTCATTTATTTGTCAACACATTTCGGATGGAACAGTAAAAATGCTTCGATTTTCAACTCCGAGGGTGGTTTCTGCTGTAGAAAATTCCATCTTACTTCTGTCATAGTAATATTTTTATATTTTATAAAAAAATGTTGGTGACAATTTTTATCTTGTATTGTTTTTAAATGTAATATTCCCGGAAGCAGTAAACTATTCTAAAAACGTTTCTATATAAATATTGAAAAATAGATATTATTTTAGTAAATAAAATGAATTATCGAAACACGGCGTCTTGTGTAGGCTATTTAGCTACACCACTGTCGTGGGTCATTTTTGTAGTAGGTAATGGAATATTTAAAATTTTGTAATAATAATTAAATAATATCCTATAGCAATATAATAAAATATTAAAATATGACTCTATATTCCACTGTACCGTAAATTTACTTTTGGTAATTGAAAAATAAGACAGTATTAACTGAAAATAGGTAACATTAAAGTGTATACAGACGGCAAGATGTCAATGGTGTTTGGTGCTGTCGCTTACGCCTTACGTGTATAATATATTTCTATGTATTATACCTAGGAAATATAATACAGAGGGAATTACATATTCAATAACAAAGAATAACGATTTTAGTTATTTTGTTGTAATTTTATAATATTAATTCAACTTACCGATTACCGTCTTAATAATAAGTAATAACAATATAAAATATATAATAATATAAAATATCCACACCACGGTTATAGTAGATAACCGTGATCTACACTGACAAACCGTCACAGCTCAGAATCATTTTCACATACAATGATATTATATCACAGAATTCAATTTTAATACCGTCTATTATACAGTGACCCACATGAAACCTACTGTACAGCAGAGCGACATCCACTTACCCACCTTTTTTGTTACGTATTTCTTATATTATATTATATTATATGATAATGCATCTAACATTAGGTAGTAAGTACCTTTAGTACCTATATTTATGTTTACACTATACCTACTGGATAGCCATATATTTATATTGAATATTATCTATGTGTAAAAAAAAAGAACTTATACTGAAGTATAAATTTGAAACTATGAAGTATTATAGTGTGCGTGTGTGTGTGTGTACTTATGGTTTTATTTGAAAAGTTCAAAACTGTAAAAAAAAAAAATCACGATGATTATATATTTAACAAATCATATTATTAATTTGGTAAATAAATATCACATTTCTATTTTTTATAACCATTAAAATAGCATGTTAAATTTTTATATCATAATAATTGTTCGGAACAAAATGTTACCCGTTCCTGTATACTCGAACGACAAGTTGGTGGTAGACGACCATAACCAATATGGTACAACTATATTGCCTGTGCTTCAAATAAGCCTATAATTGCACCCATGTCAGTTTCTGTTACGTGTAACAACTAACAGTCGTCATAACACTAATAAACAGGGCTGGTATTTTGATGCAAAGGCATCTTTTTTTCTGATGTTTTGAAACGTTGATCCGTAAGTATAAAATGTGTTTTGGGTGATACTGGTTATTTTAAAATATTTTTTATTATGCATTTTTTGACAAAATTAACCTTAAAATGCATATTTAGGACATTTTTTTATGTTTTTAGTGCATTTTCTTGGTTTTTAGAGCATTTTTCACAATTTCTTCATAAAATGAACGAAAATTGTTGTGATTCACAAAAAACTTTCGGCAAACTGCTGATGGTAAGAATGATAAATTATATATAGTATCATGTATTCATATATTTCTTCATAGCTAGGCTTTTCAGTTTTCCCCGAAAATTATCAGTTATGACCGTTATATTACACCTATTATATGAATTATTATTTTTATTACACCATACATACATACATACATAGATACAAGTTATCTTCGATAACAATTTTATCATAGCTAGGCTTAGATAACTATTACTGAATTAGTAACCAATTAGTACGTCTTTCGTCGTAGTCTCCATAGCTCTAATATAAGAAAGCATATCATTATACAGTGAAATAGCCATTTTGTTAAGGTTAGTATTAATAACAACTAGCAAAAACAAGTTAAAATATTAAATTTTTTTTTAAGTTATTGTTTTAGAATGAATGATTAAGAAAACAGAAGCATAAAAAAGTTAAAGAAGTAACAACGTACAATAAACAAAATGAAAATACATTACTGTAGTATAATGTAAATTTTTTTTTCTAATTTTTAACCTATAATAAATATAATTTAAATGCATTTTTTTAGTGCATTTTTTGAGTTTTTTAAGTCATTTTTGAATTTTTTAAGGGCATTTTTTGAAAATTTTTTTGCATTAAAATCCCAGCCCTAATTATAATACAAAAAAGGTGGGCAAGTGGGTGTCGCTCTGCTGTACAGTAGGTTACAAGTGGGTCACTGTATAATGGATGGTATTAAATTTGAATTCAATGATATAATATCATTGTATAAGAAAAACGATTCTGAGTGGTGACGGTATGTCAGTCTATGTATAAGACATATTATATACATATCTATGGTATTAAACAAAAAATTGACCTATAATAAATTCCAAACTAATCATATCACAATATCCATTAGATACTTATAACGCGTTATACATCAACAAAAACCGTGATACTATCATAGATATATAATAGTACACTTTAGAAGTTTCAAGTACCCACGAATAATATTATTCAATCACAACAAAATAACTAAAATAGTTATTCTAGGTTTTTTAATATGTAATTTCGTCCAAATTTGAATTTAAAATGTCTGTAAAAAATAATTATGTTCATATATGTTTTAGATTTTTTGGTTATAGTATTAACTATTTATGAGAACCTTTGTGTTGAATTTGTAATCCTTAGCTATAAAAACTGAACATTTTATAATTTATTAATTACAATGATTGATAATTTTCGAGATTTTGATAAATTTTGTCAAAATTTGATCTTTAAATGCTTATAAAAAAAAACTGTACCTATGTATTTTTAATATTTTTCAACTGATATTGTAACAATATATCAGGAGCCTTGTATTACATTTTTACACTTTTTGGACCAACAGATAAAACTTTATTGATATTTATAGAAAAAAAAAACTAAAAAAAATTTAAAGCTGTAAATGTCCATAAACAGCTCAAAAAGAGTCAAAATATTTTCAAAATTTTATGGTGTATAGAAAATGCTAATTTAAACATTCAGTGAAATTTTCATGTATCTGCGGCTGTTCGTTTTTGGTTGCAACAAAATAAGGAAATCGCTACATGAGTAATCGAGTGAATATCCGATGTTGTAAAAATTTTAATTTCAAACGCTCATAAAAATTTAATTTGACCGTCCGGTAGAGATTTTTTTATTGATAAAGGTAGATAATCTTATAAGGAATCTTGTGTTTCATTTTCAAATCTTAGATTTAAAAAAAAAATTTTTACGAATTCTTAACTCAAAATAATTTGCTAATTTTCGTGATTTTTCCATATTTTGTCAATTTTTGAAC